GCTGATTTAGTTCATTGATTCACAACACACTGAGTAATGCTGACGGCTGAGTCTCTGGATGAGAGTGGAAAAGTTTTTTTTTGTTTTGTTTTGTTTTTAGAACCGTGAATTACTGCTGATTTCACATTTAATGTATGATGCAGACTCATCCTAAATTATTTTCTGAGCGTGATGATCCCACTCTGCACCAGATAGACAGCAGTATAGCGTGTGCAGCTGTTACACATAAGTACGGTCAATGAATCAAGTTCTGCTTTAACTTGTATCGTTGTAAATCAGAAGAAACCTCACTGAATTCAGCAAAATTACTGAGGATGTATGCCAGGGGAGCTGGCCCAGAGCTTGTCTCAATTAGCTAAGAATGAAGAAAACTACAAGATAGGAGGAGGAAATTTTGGCAAGCAGTGATACTCGCCATAAAAACGTAGGCATTATACAAGTTAAGGATGCTGACTGACAGCTGAAGTAGTGCAAGTCTAGATTTCTTATCCTTTGATACAGATCAGCTCAATATATTTTGTGAAGACATGCCTAATTGCGGAAGTGGCAATCAGAGTGTACCGGCAGAGTTACATCTCTGAGGAATAACTGTGCTCACACTGCATTTGAGAAGTTAATTAGCCCTGTTAATTTAGGACAGCTCCTTCAATATATTCCTTAAAAGCATGAATATCCTAGCAAGTTCAAATGCATACACACACACCCACTTTATATAACATGTGCACCTAGTTAACAGGCAGAATTGTCTTACAATAGTGAGATCCTAGGAATAGTCTTAGGTTCACTCTTTGTATATATGTGTGTGTCTTGGACCATGATATATTTGCTGCCTATTACCAAAGCGGTGTGTCCAAATGTTCATATGGTTTCTATATGCAGATTTTTGTACTGCAGGAGTATGAAACCCTACTGCATTCAGCATTGCTGAGTGGCCCAGATTATCCTTCCTCCATAGAAGAAGTTCTAGAGGGAAGGTTGTGAGGGATGACATATCTGTAGAGATCCTAATGCAGAAACTCGCATCTCATAAGGTAGAGTTCACACTCATCCAAAGTTTGCCCCCTCCATCCCTGTCTCTCCTGCCCTAAATGTCACTTTCCCTCTCCCAAGCACTGTTCAGATCCGTGTAAAGCAGAGACATCTGCAAGGAAGCCTCTCCCACATATTCCTGCATGTCTCAATTTCCCAGAAAGCTGTCTTATCTGAGTAATTTCCAGAGCCTTCCCAAGGACTCTGGGCCTACTTGTATTCTTTAGATGCCTGACCTCCACCAGCTTGTGCTGCATGCAGTCAAGAATATATCTGTTTTACTTTTCTCACCTAATTCCTTCAAATCCAAATTACTGAGAATTATGATCTCAGACCTCCCGTCTTGCATCCTTCTTCACATTTCTGACAACATTCTCAAATTCATTCACAGACACATTCGTGCTCAAATGAGAGCAGAATCTGGCCCAGGAAGAACATCATCTTGCCGATGTTCATCTCCTCGAGGTTGCTAAAAATCACATGCTCTCCAAAGCTTCCGTGTAATAACAACTACCCCCAATTTCAAAGTCTATCATGAAAAGAGGCATACATAAATTAAATGTATAGTAAGATGTAGCAATTTATAAACCATCCTTGAGTGATTTGAAAGTTGACAACTATGGCTTGACTGAAGCTTTTGTTATTTCTTCTGTTGCTGTGTTACCAGTATTTGCTTCCAGATAAAAACGTCCCCTGAAAGGGAGATAGAGGTGCCACGGGTCATCAGCATCCCACAGGAGGAAACTTATGTGAAGTTTAGACTACCCAGCTCATTTCATGGGCTATCTGCAGTAATCATCTGCTATGATCCAGCTGTTCTGATGAGAAGTTAGGTTTGCACACCAATTCATTATGAGACCAAGAAGAGTATCCAGGGTTTCTGAAAATTTTTTCCACGCAATAATTTGTGTAATCTAATTTCTCAGGAACTGGCTGAGATTTGGGAAAGAAAGATCTAAAGTGATTAAAGCTGAGGACAAATTTGCTATGATTTTTAAGGAAATTTAATGAGTCTACTTGTTACAGCAAGAGCTCTTTCAGCTAAAGGGACTGTTTCCTAGATATGCAAAGTTATGTCAAACTGGTGATTAGAACTTCAGCCCTTGAGGATAAGAAGCTCCAGAGTCAGATGAACTCTGAAATCATATATATATAATATGTATATAAGTGTGTGTATGTATATGCATGTATCTTCAGTTCTATGTCTTCATAAAAGCCTCAGGAGATAGCATTTTTTGGAACTGGAGGTATATAAAGAAGAAAAAAAAAAAGCTTGATTCTGTGTTTTACCCTTCAGTTTATAATGGTTCCATTTTGCCACATTTGGAAATGTTTATCAAAAAAAAAGAGTAACAATTTATAATGCTAACAGGAAATTGTTTCTATGGGATATGGAATATATTATTTTCCCCATCTAGTCTCAGAGTTAGTTATGGTGGCAGGAATCTATTCTCATTGAGATAGAAGGCCATAAAATTTATTGAGTGCAGAGTCATTGAACTGGTAAACAAGATTAGCTAGCAGGCCCCAAGAAGAGGCTACCGAAGATGTGAAGCATTCACAAGCCTTTGTCATTCTCAGAACAAAATCCGTGGGCACAGTGGTTTTTTATGAGTATTTTGTGAGCCCTCAAACATTTATATTCTGAAGCTCTTTGGTAGAAACCAAGGCCTAGAGGTACAGAAGGTCTTTGCATATAAACCTCCCTTCTTCTGCATGATAAAGAAAAAAACACCACAAAGTTGCAAAGCCCCTCACTTGCGTAAGCACAGAATAAATGCTAAATTTAGGAGATGCGTTCCCCACTACCTCATCCATCCTCAGGGAATGCAGTATTAGCTATCAATCTGGCTTTCTGCCAGAGAGGTAAAATTAGAGTGGGTGTTAGTCTGTGGGTGGTAATAAGCTTACTTCTGGATTGTCCGCAAGTATTAGAAAATGGTGTCAGCTGGCTAGATCAGCTTTCCATACTCAGTCATCTTCCCTGAGAAATGAAGAGGCCTCACAAGTTCTTCTCACTTCTCTTACTAAGCAATGGATCTAGGCTTACAGGTCAAATGTTCCTCAGTATTTCTAAAGTAAGACAAAGGTGTGTCAATGCAAAATATACAGTAAGATAAAGCAAAACACTGTGGTTAGATTCTTCCAGCTATGGCAGCATTTATATTTTAAAATATAATTATTAAAATTAAGGGCTAAATAGCTAGAGCGCAGCCTATTTCTGTGCAATGCAGGAATTGCCAGAAATACGAATAAAATAACACATCCTTTATCACAAATACGCATATTAACATTGCTGCTAGGGAAGATGGTTAGCCATATAAAATATTCTACAGGTACCATCATTACTGTTGCTATTCTTTCCCTGCAGTTATCTATACTAAGCGTCCTTTTTCACGGAAGAAAAAGGCAGATCAATTTATCCAAATAGACTCCCTTTCTGTTTTGCTCCTCTATTTAGCAGACTATTACAGTAACTGAAATACGTTCCTTAAATTGTGATACCTAACTGAGCAAACTGGGCTGACAGGCATTTTGTACAGAGAGCTCAGATCCTCCAGGAGGTCAGTACACTTGGGTATAATTAAATAATTAGTTTTGCCAAGATCTGTGTTTATCATTTTAACACAGAACAAAATTCCCAGCTATATTTTCCAATACAAATATTTTGGTAGGCATCTTCCTTCAAATATCTTCAAGGACTTTCAGTTCAAGGAAATTGGCTAATACTTATGGGGTTATATAAATCACTTGAATCCCAGTTGCGTTAACTGGATAGGACTAAAAGGAACAGGGGTCCTAACCTTGTCCCAAACAAAATTTTATAGGCAAGATTCCCTTTGAGCTCCAATGGTAGAGTTCAGGCCCCCAGAGCACATTAGGACTAAGTAAATTTTTACATTATTTTAACTATTTTTAACTGTTTTAACAGATTCTCTGCAGTAACAGTCTGCTCGAGTCAACAGACTACTGGCTGCAGAATCAGAGGACACCGTGCCAAATCGGCTTTCTGGAAGACAAGTCAGAAAGCAACTGTGCCTCAGTAAGTACTCATTTGAATCTCTGCTGGGGAAAAGTCCATTGAGAGCTATTTGGGTAGATGTGGGGCAACAACAGTACATATTAAATTAAAAAAAAGTCAGTTACTAACTGGCACTGCAATTACAGTAATCTATCTATGATTCTTCTAATTTCCAGTTTTATGATAAAAGCAAGCATCCAAAGCAAAAATGCATACAAATTTCTATACAGAGTACATTAATAAAGATTACTTCAGACATTTCCCCACATTCAGCCTTCAGACTTTGGCCCTCCATATTTTATTATGCTGATAGTCTGCAACTAACAAGAGAGGAAAATAGGCCAAAGAGAAAATTATTCTAAGCCATAACTTGTTAAGTGGCAGGTTGGGAAGAGCAGATGTTTAAAAGGCTGCTAAATGTTCTTGAAGGCATAGCAATACGATTAAAGAGAAAACTCTTTCCATATTAGGTGAGAAGGAGCTGCTGAAGAACTCAAGCAGAATTATTTTACGTTTGAAATGAAAATTAAATCTCAGTGTTATGGGTTATAATGCAGTTAAGTTAAGAATAGCTTTTGATTAAGAATGTGTATGAATAAATAGGAGTTGTTAACATTGCTTTACACACTATCTACATGAAGCTGGATGGCAGTACTTCGCTATGATTGTAATAATTCTTTATTTGAGGATGGCCTCAGGAGAACAGATCCTTACTAGGAATCCCACTTGATTGTTATCCCCTGACCCCAGTGAGCCAACAAGGGTTTAAGAAAAGAGCAGTTTTATCTCAGGCTAAAGGTTTCCAGCACCACTCATGCCACGCATAGCCTAAGACCAGCTGAGGGCTCTTATAGAGTCTGACCCTCAAGGACACAGACATTTCAGTCTGTAGCTTGTGAACTCATACGCCTGCTGTCAAGGAACTGAATTGACAGCAGCAATGACTGGAGGCCTTGTGTCTTGCCTGGGGGGTGAGGAAGGGTGCCCAGAACAGCACTAGCCATACCCGGTGTAATCCCAACCCCCACCGCTCTGCTAGCACTGGCAGAGCGGAGAGCAGAGAAGTTGTGTCCTCCACCAGGGCTGGTGGAGGAGCACCCGCACCACCAGCAGGCTCAGCGAGCTCCCTCAGGCTCCTGTTATGCTTTTTGCTCTTATTCATAGGGAAAAATCATCTCTCAAAGAAACAAGGACAGTCCAGAAAAGACAATATAGGAAATATGATTTTAAAAAATCATAAAAGCAGCCACACAAGGTGTAAGGTGAGACCCTAAATATCTCGCCTGTGTCTCTATTTTGGATGATGCTGGGTGAAACAAGGAAGGAGCTGTTAAAGGGAAATATTTAGTGGTGCTAATTTCCAAGACTCCCAAAACTAGACATAAAGAGGAGTTTCCTGGTCTTCAAGCATCCTGCATGTATTCTCCAAAGCAAGAAGGTCACAGTATTTGAAAGTATACAGCATTTTTCAATTACAGCTGAAATACTATCACCTAAACAGTATCTTGAATAGGTTCTTAGCCAGAACAGGGTAATCATGCAGGTAGTTGGTGGTATCCCTGTTGTTGTTCAGTATGGGGAAGGATTCCTTTCAATACAAAAGACATTTACCACACTCACTTGGTTTTAGTATTTCACATCTTAAAAAAGGCTTGTTTTCTTAGAGCAAATGAATAGTCCTAAAAATAATATAAAAATGATTAAGGTACTTTCTTTTTTTGATATGGTGAGCTTTGACTTTATCCTTCATGTTTCTTCAAACATAATAGGAAGAGGTCATTATTTGTCTCTGATAGGATGGAGCTACCAAGAAAAGATAGCTTATTAAAGCAAGATTTTCTCAAATTTGATTTAAAAATAGCCAGTACTGCTGCTTGATACACACCAGCCACCATAATACTGCCACTAAAACATTTTTTTCATCTGAAAATGCAAATCAGGTTTTATCTAGCCCTGCTCAGTCACCCTGTCGGGAAAATAAGCATTACTCCTACCACTTATCATATGTGGGAGGAGAGGCAGAAATACTGAAAAGATTTTTCATCTGAGTCCCCTGAGGAGTTTCTCAGATGTGGGGTTGCAGTCAAAGACCCAAATCTCACATGTGCTGAACACCCACAACTGGTGGATTCCCTAGCAAAGTCATGCAAGGTGATAGTAGTCTTTTAGTTCCCGTTTGTCGAAAAAAAGATAAATAAGACAAAAAGCAGCTCTTGCTACTGCAACAAAATGGTGTAGTTCCGCTTAGGGGCAGAGGGGTAGGCAAAGGCACCCCAACAGGCTTCCAAGACGTGGAACTGCCCCAGTTCCTAATGTCCACCCTAAACTGCAAAATCCTGACAGGCCCCTTCCTTATCTGAGAGAAATATTAAGATATGGTTTGAAATAAGATCTGCCAAGTCATCCTTTTCCATTGCCTTCTCACTCCCTGCATAGCGTGCATACAGGACAATCAGCTTTGTGAACACAGCTTAGCGCGAACTCAACACACACGCATAAAAAGCTTTTGCAATCTTCCACGCAAAATTTTAGTACCTAGTTGACGCTGCAATTTACAGTTATAATCACTATAGAAGAAAAGAAATTATGTTGAAACAATTTTGTATTCATGAGATTTATAGAATGTACAATAATTTATCAAAAGAAATTAAAATATCATATAGAGAGACCATTAATTTAGAAGCTAAGAAGTTAAAACATCACTTTTGATGTTTTGTATTTTGAAACATCACTGTTCACACCAGCAGAGAAGATATTCAGTGGCCTAGAAGCTTAGTGCTTGGTCTGTTCCTGGAAGTTATTCTTTTAGGATCACAGTTATGAGCAGAACTGAAGTTTTGTTCATATTCCTGATTGATTTAATCGTAGAGGATGTAAAGGACAGAGCTTTAATTTGTGTGCCTGAAAAGTTACACAACTAATACAGGAGCCTAGATACAAGCAATACACTGGAAAACTTTGACATTAGTCATCAGGCTCAATATGTGGACCAAAGTGTAAGCACACTCAGGATTTTTCCAGAATTGCTCACCCCACCTTGAGGTACTTCAGTGGTGCGTTTGGCAATGCTGAGTACATGAGCAAAATAGGAAACAAGAAACTCTTACTGTTGTGCAAGGGTTAAGCATTAGTTCAGTAGTCACACTGAGAACTTTCAAAGCATTTCATTCCGTGTCCTTGCCAATGACTGACACTAAATGAGTAGAGGCTGCAGGAATAAGGAGGGAGAAAGATACAAATATGGAATAGTTTCCCCAGCTTCTGAATTAGCCAGCAAACCAGACTGCGCTTAGGAGAAAATAGTCTACCCTCTCTTTCATGGGGAATATTGTGCAAGTTACTCTTAACCAGTTGTGCCAGAGATGTTTTAATCCAGCCACCTCTGAAAGTTCCATTAGGTTTGAAGAAGCAAAAGGAATTTAAAAAATCTCAGATGTACTGTATCATTAATGGTTGCTTTTTCCAAAGACATCTGGTAATACATTTAGTTATAAAGTGTTCGGTTTTCATTTGGAAAAGTTCATGTGTAGTTGTAAGGGGTCTAGTCTTACTGTAACTATAAATGCAACAGGACTATATGAACATAGCTTTCATAAATGTTATGTTCATTATATCCCATTACAGATTAGCACATTTAGTACAAATAAAATTAGACTCATGGCTATCCTACTTATGCTCACAAGTATACTAACATTAATGGACCCAGCTCGAGCTGTTACTTTGTCGTGCCATCATTTAAATAAATAATTAATTTCACTGTTTTACGTGCGTGAGACCCTGCTCCTCGGAAACCTAGGGTCAAATTGTTTCCACAACAAACATTTAACTAAATTATAACAGGCTGCTTTTCCAAAGAGAATTTTTAAGCAGAGCAGGCATTTTCATATATGTAATAGACCATTAATCTGCAAACTGGCTAATGAAAAGATAGCATTATGATATGAACATAATTAATTGCGTCAGAGGAGCTGTATTTCTTATTTGCTTAGGTTGGAAATATTCTCCTGGGCTCTGAAGATATGAAGGTGTTCACATGATATATTTGCTACTTAGTATTTCAAATTCTGGTTCCCTGTCATAATAAAAGAATTGCTAGTGTGTCCATATTTAATCCAACATTAGCATGTTGCTGCCAGACTTCCTTGTTGGTGATAGCTTGTTACAAGTGCTGATGGTCAGCTGCACTGGAATCGTGGGCATAAATAAGATGGGGGACCAAATTCCCTATACCTGCTTTTAATTTTCTAACTGGGGCTTTTATGTGAGCATCTGTATTACTCGTCTAACTGAAAGGCATTGTAGGCACTGAAATTACAGTTCTGTCCTATTTTCCTATGACTTAATCAGAAACACAAGCCGAATTTCAATTCCGCTCACAGTAGTTACCATAAAAGCCCCAAACCCATCCCTAAGTAATGGGTAACTTGTGCAACAATACTCATTTCTGAAATAGTAGAAGCACCTGTAGTATAGTATGGTACAAATATCCCTTTTGTGACACATTGCAAAGACCCATTCCAGAGAATTGTACTTATTTCCCTTACTACAGGGAAATCAGGTCATTACTTAAAAAGTCAGCAAAGTGGGGGTCCACAGCTTCCCTGAAAAAGCCCTTAGGGATTGCACATGCCATAAGTGTGGGGACTTGTTTATTCAGCCTGCTATATCCCCATCTCTAGATGAGCAAAGTTAACAGTTTCCTGAGGGTTTAAGAAAGCGGTCCCTAGCAGTGGAGCTGAACTGCCCCAGGAACGTGCCTTTAACACAGCCGGGCTCCTGTTGTCTGGAAGCAGCGGGGTGGGCGGCTGCCCTCGGGAAGGAGAGCTGGGTGCGGAGGGCACAGCAAGGCAGCGGCCCTGTCCCACAGCCCCCAGCAGGGCAGTAACCTGAGTCCTGGTGAGTCCCTGGTGCTGAGGCAGCGCTGGTGCCTTGGTCTGAGCTTAAACGCAGCTCCTGGGTCTGCAGGGTCTTGGCGTGGGGAGGGAGTAACATTAGCCTGGGCAGGGCAATCAGTGCCTCTT